TAAATTGTTTAAGTCTGCCAAATCCCTCCCAATAATCCTCTGTCATTGATTCGCTGTGGACTCCGAGGGCGATTAACCCCATTTGCGACTCGGGACCTATGCCCTATTTGATGCACTAAGCCATTTATTAACTTGTGTGTTAGGTCCGCAAAGAATGGATTTTTGACCAGTGATAGTGACAGTGCTGGCCTAGAAGATGGTTTCAAAGCCTGGTCTTTACTTCTACCCTTGCTTTTCCTTTTCAGCCCACGCCCAAGGAGAAAAAGGAAAAAAAGGTGAGAAATTTATCCGCCTTTCTCTTTTCCTCCTGTCGATCTCCAGTCTTGTACTGCTACATAGCTCGTGAATTCTACTAGTACTTTGAAATTTGACGAATCCTGCTGTTTTAGGCCTCGGAGGCTAAGAAGGTCCTCAAAGAGCTTCAAAATGCACACAAACGCGCTGAACGTGAGCGCGAGCGTCTACGGCGCGAACGGGAACGTGAAGAGATGCTACGCCAAAAACGTGAGGAGCAACTACTGCGTTCACGGGATCGGCAACTGAAGAAGGAACAAGCGGAGCGGGAGAAGGAGATTCGTCGTCTGCAGCGCGAAGAGCTCCGCAAACAGAAGGAGAAGGAACGTGAAGATGAAAAGCAAAAGAAGGAAGAGGAGCGTCTGAAGCGGGAGGAAGAAAAACGCAAAAAGGACGAGGAGCGTCATGCCAAGGAGTTGGAGCGACTCAAGGAGGAAGAAGAAAAAAGACGCAAGGCTGAAAAGCAGCGTGCCCTTATGATGGGCTTCCTTGTTAAGCAGGACGAAAAACAGGTGCGTTAACACTGTTTTTCTCTGTTCAAATGTCTTTATTTTGTACCTATTCGAATATCTGCTTATATGAATCTTCCGATCACAGGAAGTTAGCAGTTGCCCAAGTAAATCGTCCCCCGCCAAGGAGGGTCCGTTTATGCAGTTTCAACTGAAAAAGGACCAGCGCATGGCACCGCTGAATCGTGTATCGCCTAGGTTGCACCAAAAGAAGCGGGAAAACGTGGAGCAACTGCTGCAGTCCTGGCGGTCGGCTCCTGCATCTACTGATGCCTCGCGCCTTGGCCTGCACAAATTTGGTCAGCCCAATTACATACACGAACTCAGGACCGG